GAGATGTCATCTGTGAACAAGGAATACCATTAATTAGGTCTGCCTAAAACATTGCTATGAAAGACCTGTCCTCTAAGACTTATCCTGTGGTACTGCTGTCTCATTTATTTTAGAGTTTTTGTTGATATTTTCGTAGCGTTGTAATCTCGGCCAATTGAGATTTGTGTTTGCAGTTACTGGTAGTTCTCAACTAAGTGTTATCTGCCTAGCTTCTCGGGATCTCGTTAAAATAATAAATGGGCTATTTTGTGATTTACCTGTGTATATCTTTGGATCAGGCTGCTTGTTATACCACTGCACACATCTCTGCTCAGCCATCTCGTAGTTCAACCAGTGGAATGGATCGCTCCAGATCCATTCGGCCGGGGAACTGCCGAAGCTGCTAACAATCCTTTTTACTAGAACCAGTGTGACAAAGCGGTCATCCCCACCTATTGCTCTAAAGGTTTGTGAACGTAAAAAAGTTTTTAAAAGGTTCTCATCAAGAAGGCTCGTGTACTTTCGACTAAACAGTGTACTTTTTTGGCTTTGTGATTTGAAGAGAAAGGTTTCGTTAGCTTCGATAACAAAGTATTCGATAACGCAGCAAACAATTAATTTTACATAATCATTTCTCGATCAACTAGATACTTACCGAGACTCATTATAGGAAAAATTCAAGCTTTTCCATCGTTGACGATCCACCGTAAGCTTTGAAATGATTTAATGAGGAGGTCTTTTATGATTCAATGATTCATGGTCATTTCGATGAGTTTGAATTTGCTGCAGACTGAGTTTACTTTGATTGAAAATGAAAACAATCATGGCTTCTTACCCTTGATCTACTCCTTTTGGCACAACGAACTGACTATTTCCGTCATTTTGCTGACCTGCCACTACATTGAATGTGCTATGAAAAACCACCTGTCCGTCGCCCTTCATGGAAAAACGAGCCAGTTGAACTGTTACTCTCTGATTGTCGCCTCCGAGGTAAGCTGGATCCCATGTAATACAGATATGACTTTTTTCATACCACCTCTTTACCTTATACCGTACGACAGCTGGCTTGAATTTGGCAATGTTAACTGGCGAGAAGCAAGAATCAATAACAAAAAACTATATACATTTACCTGAATCAGACGAGGTGTTTGGTAGGGACACGTCGCTACTGAAAATTCTGAATCACGTGAACTCATTGTAATGCTCCAAGATTGACACGCCTTTAACATTTTAGAGACCCTCTAAGGGGTACAGTTGGAGATATGGTACTTGAGTTTATCAAATGTTGCCATTTTCAGATATACTAAAGAAACAGTTGTAGGCATAAGCTTAACCAAAAATCTCCCAAGACTTACTTTTTTTTCCACAAATGAGATAGTTTTGTACGGCATATTTCACTTAAAACCTAGCCTGTCGAAGAGAGAAACTTTTACCCACCGGCAACACCAGGCTCAACTAATAGACTAAGAGCCTTAGCAAAGTAGTCTTTTATGCAGTGTGAGAGACTAGGCTTTCCCACAACTTTCCAAAGTCTAATCTTACCAATGGTGATGATGCCTTGGTAGTCGAAACTCCTTCCTCCATTTACTGACATTTTAATTGTCAACCTGCCGGTCGAATAAAGTATTGGCACAGTGCAAGATGCCTGAATGGGACTGA